TCAGGAAGCACATGCCAGGTACACACAGGGATCCAGGAACTTCCATGGAGCCTCCCTCCCTGACTTACAGACATCAGCTGAGTGAGTGATTGCATGCCATTCACATCCTCCTCCTTCTGGACAGTTCCTCCTAACATCCCACTGAAGAGTTCCTGCTGCATCACCCACAGACCCCAGCTGAAACATTAGGAGATGCCCCCAGTCCTCTCTCTCACCCTGTCTGCAAAGCTGGTAGCAGCTCCTGGCTCAGAGCAGTAATCCTGCTGACAATTAATTGGCTTTTGTTGGAGGAGAATGAATACCATCTCATCTTAATCTTCTTCATTATTCTCCTTGTTCAGCAGAGTCAACACAAGATTAGGTTTAATTTATGGGGGGGTGGGGGCTGGGAGGGGGAAATGGCAAAGTCATTACTCACCAGGAGCTCAGGATTGGATCCACCTGGGTGCTCTGTGTTCACTGCAAGCAAGGGGCCGCTAGGAAGGCCCAGGGCTCTGCTGAGACGGGGACATACTGAGGGGGTCTAGGCACCCAGACTCACTTTGGGCCAGATCCCTAGGGACCACCAACCCTTCCTAGTCTTATAGGACTCAGGTCTCCTAAATGTTTCTCAGGAGACTCTGGAGTAAGGGTAGCTTTTGTGGTGGTTGTTGTGACAGTCTTACTTTGTGGCTCTTGGTAGAGTGCTGTGGCGTCACAGCTCACAGCAACCTCCAACTCTTGGGCTTAAGCGATTCTCTTGCCTCAGCCTCCCAAGTAGCTGGGACAGGCGCCCACCAGAATGCCCGGCTATTTTTTGTTGCAGTTATCATTGTTTTTTAGTTGGCCGGAGCCAGGTTCAAACCTGCCACCCTGGGTGTTAAGTGGCCGGCACCGTAACCACTGTACTACAGGTGCGGAGCTGGAGTAAGGGTAGGTTTCAAGCCTGACCCTTGAGGACTCAGACTCAGTCCCCAAGCAGCAGAAAGAGATCAGGTTTTGGATTCAAATCCTAGCTGCTGAGGACCCTTCCTCTGCAGAAAACTGGGTGGGACCGCCCCAGTTTGGGAACTGCCTTGACAATACTGTCACCTAGTGGTAGTTAGTGGAACTGGCCCTTCCTTCCCTCTTACGTCCGCAACTGAATATTCCTTGCACACAAAATTCAGATTTACAAGGTAAATAAATCAGAAAGGGGAACAGGGACTTTTTCCACCAGAAAAAATTGTTACATAGAGATATCCACTAAGAAATCTACAAGGAAATTCATTTTACCTTCCCTGGCCCCTCAACCAAAATGTTCCCAAGCACCTAGCACTCCCTCCTTCCACCTGGGGTGATGGTATGCCAAGGAGGGCTGGAGATCAGTGTCCTTGTCACCTTCAATTCTTCACACTCCTCCTTACCTCAGAGCCCCTGGCTTCTGTCTCCCATCAAGTGCCCAACTCTGAGTCTGTACCACAACAAAGTGGTTAAGAAGAGCTGGACACCCACCTTCAGCTCCTTCTCCCTGCATGACCTTGGGGGACATCTGTATCTACCAGAGAAGGCCATTGAGAAGATTAAAGGTCTGTGCACTTAGCATGGAATTGGAACCCATAAGTCCTCAGCAAATGCCTGTCATCATTGCCATCACTGCTGTCATCCGTATCGTCACCATCATCATCATCCTGATATACTTGAGCAATGTGGTTTCATCAACCAGACGGTGAGCTGCTGCTGTCTTACACCTATCCCCAGCGCCTGCTGGACAAAGCAAAGGTTTATCCTTAATATAAACTAACATCGTATCTGCTTCTTAGAACATTTGTACCCTACAGGACAAAACACAGAGTAGGTCCTCAGGAAACCTCAGGGTCACAGCCTAGGTCTCCAAGATCATGTCAAATCATTTCCTACATGTTTACCACCCCAAGCATGCTGGCTGCCTTTCTGATCTGTGAGGAAGCTCAGCCCCACCTCAGGACCTTTGCACATGCTGCTCTCAGATATCTGCATGGCTGGTTTCTCTTCATCACTCAATACAAATGTCACCTCCTCAGAGAGGTCCTCCCTGATCACCTTGACTACAGTAGCACTCCCACCCTCACTCCTTGCTTTGTTCTTCCTGAACTAAACACCACTCTGTAACCAGCTGTCCCTTTGGTTACAGACACTGGGTCAAGTGCTGAGTAGAAGCCTAGATCCACCACTGATTAGCAGTGTGGCCTCAAGCAAGTTGCTTAATCTCTGTTGTGCTTCAATTTCCTCAACTACAAAAATGGAATTGATAAGTCTCCACTGCATGAGGTTAGGTATTACAATAAAGCAATCTAGAGAGAGTCTTTCCTTTTTTATTTTTTATTTTTTATTTTTAGAGAGAGAATGTTAGAGTAGTGCCTGGTGTGGAGACTAAGTGAGGTGTCCTGTGGGTAATTATCTCGTTCATTCATTAATTTAGTTGCTGTGTTTGTGCTTCTCCATCCAGACTGTGTAATCTAGGGGAGCAGAGACCTTGTCTATTCTCCCCCTGCCTGACCCATGGTAGGTACTCAATAAATACTGAATGATTAGAAGGGATCTCAGGAGCCAGTCATGCCCCATCTGCTCTCTCTGGCTTTGACTGTCCCCAGTGGGATGGGGACTAGGGTGTCCCCTTCTGGACAGCTCACCAATTTTTCCTTATCCTTCTCAACAATAAATAATAACAAATAAATTTAGCTGGGCTTGGTGGCATCAGCCTGTAGCCTGTAGTCCCAGCTACTCAGGAAGTTGAGGCAGGAGGATAACTTAAGCCCAGGAGTTCAAGGCTGAAGTGAGCTATGATAACACCAACTGCACTCCAGCCTTGGTGACAGAGCAAGAGCCCGTCTCAACCATGATGACAATGATGATGAGTGATATTTACATGTGGGTCCAGATCTGCCCTCTAGAGTAGGGGACAGAAAAGCTAAAAGGGGTTAAGAGCATCCACTTTGCAGCCAGACGTCCCTGGTCTGGAACTTGTACTTCTCCAGTTACTGTGCGTCATTTTCCAGGATAGTCTCTTGTCCTGAGTTTCCTCATGTGCAGAAGGGATGGCTGTGTCCTCTCCCTGCCCCCCACCTATAAGATGTGACATGACAGGGAGTGCCCACCTCACCCAGCCCTTCAATGGCTCAGAAACAGTTGTGTCATCTTCCTGAACTAAACACCACTGTGTATCCAGCTGTCCCTCCAATGACTGACACTTAAAGAGTGTGTCTGGAGCACCCCATTATCCTGGTTCCTCTGCTCCCTTCTGAGGGCTCTGTGCCCTAGGGAGAGACCACAGCAGCCTCGGGGCCTCTGGGTTTTTAGGTCCCTCTTCTGAGACCAGGCCAGTGGCCTTGCTGGGCTTATGTTCTCATACCCATCCCAAACCCCATCTCTGACTGCCCCGCCTCCCTGTCCCCTCTCCCGCCTCACTCCACACTTGTTCTCACCCTCACTGCACCCTGGGCCTTGGTTGCTGGCCACACACTGCAATTCCTACGGCTGCATCCCCTGCCCAGAGCCCCAGACTCCCTGGGGACCTCTTTCTTGGAAACCCCATGGGCATGTGGAACACCAGAGAACTTTCCTGCCACCTGCAAGACCTTCCATACCCCCCACAGTCCTGCCCTGACACCCAGTCCTCACAGGCACCCCAATCCAGCCCCCAGCCCCTCATGCCCACTGCCTGTCTCCACCCAGCCTCCTCCCAAGTCCAGCTTGAGCTCTGGCCCTCCCCTCCCTCAAGCTGGCTCCCCCACAAGTAATCCTCGGTCCCTCCCTAAAGCACCACCCTGCTTATTATACATTTATTCAAGGAGAAGAGTTCATGGGTTGAACCTCGGCAGCTCCCAGCATTTGGGGTGGGTGTGGGCCGTGAAATCCACTGGACAGAAGGAAGGGTATCCTTAGGGCAGAGGCTATGCCTTCCCCCTTTAGACTGAGAGTTCTCCAAGGACAAAGTTTTTCTCCCCTGTTAGACTGAGGATGCCCCCCAGACCATGCCTCTCCCACTAGACTGGAGAATCTCAAGACACTGGACATATGCCTCCCAGAAGTGGCCAGGCCAGTGTTCTTGAGACAGAGTATCTTTTTCACCCTGTAACTTCAGGGCCCCCACATGAGGCCTGGCTCTGGGAATTGTGAATGAATGAATGAATGAATGAGTGAATGAACCAGTCGACAATTCCAGGCAGGCCCCAAATGTAAGGAATGAAGCTTACATTCCCACCTGATCAGCATTTACCTTCAGGGTTCATAATCAAAGTAAAGCTGGAGGGTCACAGAGATTCTATTGGTCTCCATTTCAGGAGAGGAGGGCAGGTGTTTGGAGCCCTTCAAACAAGCACCTGAGAGTCCTCGGAGGAAAGGGCTGGGTTTGAGAGCCGCTGGGGGAGCCAGAAGAGAGTGCCCAGGCTCCAGAATCTGACACAACACCCTGCCAGGATCCCCTCCCCCAAACCAGTGGCAGGGGCCAGCCTCTGGGCCTGGCTTGGAAAATGGCCAGTGAGACCAGATGCTAATGACTCCTGTCAAATCCAACACCAAGACAGCAGGGAGTGGACATGAACTGAAGAGGGAGGCCAACCAACCCTTTCTATGTTCCCCCACCCCCACCCCCAGGCCAGGAGAAATGGCACAGTGAATCCAGTGCCACCATTGCCTCCACCACCTGCCTTCACAAAGGGATGGGGAGGCAGCAAAGCAAAGGACGGCTAGACTGAGAGAGGCCTGGGGGCAGCCCCCCCACAGGCTGTTCTGGCCTCTGGGCAGCTTGGGTGTCAGTCAGGCGCCAGGCCCAGCTCACCCCTCCTTGGCCTCACAATCCCAGCCTTTGTCCAGCTCAGGCCTGACTGGCTCCATCCTGGCCCAGGGGCCCTTGAAAACCAGAGCAGCTGGAGCCCCATCAAGTGTTTTTCCACGCTGAGCAGGGCCCCTCAGAAGACAGAAAAGGATGGGGGGGGGCAGAGGTGTTCATGCATCCATTTGTTCTTTCATTCCTTCCTTGACAAATAATATTTATTAAGCGCCCACTTTGACATAGGCACTGAGCTAGCAGGGGATTCAGCAGTGGTCCCAGCCCAGGCCCAAGCCCTCACCCATCTTACACTCTAGACGCCAGCTGCCGGAGAGGTGCAAACACGAGCAAATGTGTTCCAATAAACCCCTCTCTCTCCGCGGGAGGGCTGGGCTCCCAGCAAGGGGCGAAAGAGAAAAAGGGTGAGCGACTCGAGGAAAGCGAGGAAGCTACCCACTAAGTTAAGGCCTATCTTCCCCAGCCCCTGCCCCTGCAGGCAGCTGAGGGAGCTTGGAGGAGGGTCGCTCAAGGCTCCACCCACACGCCGCTGTTGGTCACCCGGGCCCCGAACCAGCCCTTCCAGTAGACAGAATCCTGCCCCCCGTGCTCGAAGCGGACAAAGCGGACGCCTGGCCCGTAGTCGGTGAAGGTGTGGGAGATCTGGGGATGGAAGGTAGGGAAAGTCATCCCCAGGGCCTCCTCCTGCCGTCCCACCGGGGGACACCGCCTAGGTGCAGCCACCCTCTAGTATCTCTACCCCGCCCCGCACAGGCGCGCCCTGGGTGGGGTTTCCACGAGCCCCGCCCCCTTGCGCCCAGGCCCCATCCTTAGTCTTCCCACCTCCAGCCTCACCTCGACCCAGCCCTCTCCATCGCTGTCCGGGGGCACTGCCACCTGCCCACTGTTGAACTCGGCCAGCACGTCCTCGTGCTCCGACAGCAGCTTCACCGTGAGCTCGTACAGGCAGCCGGCGTCGCAGCGGCCTGAGTACCTGCCCCGAGGGAGTAAGCGAGGGCGTCCTAGGGACCCGGCCTTCTACAGGAGTACTCCTTTACGCCCAGGGTCGGTACCACCAATGTTCCCATTATACAGATAAGAAAGCTGAGACCAGAGAGAGAAAGTGGCTTGCCCAAGATCCAAACGCAAAAACTAAACCCCAGGTCCTCCTGACTCCTTGGAGCTAAAACCAGCCCAGAGTCACGTTTTGTTTTGCACTGCAGACTGAGAATATAGGCTCCCATATATTTTATATATACTATATATACACACCCACAATATATATGTATATATACATATGTACGGTATATATTTCCGAACATTTAAAATCAGGAAGGTAGGTGGACTTGACCTTCTGAAAACTCAGAAACCCTTGTGGACACAAGCCCTAGAGCCCCGCCTCTCCTGTCCCCTCTGCTATGGCTCCCTCCTCTTAGTCCCACCCTGGCCAGCGGCCTCTCACCAGTCTTTCACCACGATGGCGGGCTGAGTCGTGTCCAGCAGTTCCTCCCAGTAGCCCTCAGCCTGCAGGTCAATGACCTGTGCTTTGCGACACCACCTGGGAGAAAAGGAGTTAGGACAGAATGGACGCCCTCCCCTGACCACCCCGCTCCATCCGTTTCTCCTTACTCGAAGGAGGATGCGAAGTACTTCTTGACGCTGTCATCATGGGTGAATTCCACCCCACAGTCTCCAGGCAGCTCCTCCACCCTCCAGCCGTCCCCACCGTGCTCCACGTCGATCCAGCCCTCCAAGTCCTCTGCAGAGACACAGCAGGCCTGCCCTTGTCACCTGGTCCTTGCTGAGGCTGGGACAGGCCTGGCTCTTGCCATTGTAGAGGGTACATGATGGATGGTGGGGTGAAACTGATTCTCTCTTTTTGAGGACTGTCTCCAGGGCCTGTCCTGCCCCAGCTCAGGGAGGGTGGAAGGGCCCGGAAAGAGACCCAGGACGTAGGTGGCCAGCGAAATATAGTAATGGGCAGGATTTATTGGGGCCACTCGTGCACTGAGCCAAATGCTTTATCTCATTTAACCCTGAAAGCCGGCCGTTGCTGCCACGGCCCAGGGACGCCGAGCTCCTGCGTGGGGCGCCAGGAGGAGGCCTCTCACCTTCCCCGCACGGGTTGTGCAGCAGGTTGCGCCGCCGCTTGCTCAAGAAGTAGAACTGCTGCCAGTGGTCGCGCTCGTCCTCGGTGCCACCCTCGGGCACCAGCCCCTCCTGCTGGCATTTGAGCAGCCACAGGGGGGCGCCGTCCACCAGCTCCCTCCAGCGCTGGCACACCAGGCGGCAGGCCTGCACCAGCTCCGCGGCCGGCAGCTCCGCCAGCACGCGCAGCAGCAGCGGCTCTGGCAGCTCAGCCAGGTACGCCTCCTCGTCCTCCTCCTGGTCCTCGGGCCGCTCCTCCTCCGCGCTCGCCTCCTCCGGCTGATCCTCCGGACTTGCCTCCTCTGGCTGGCCCACGCTCTCTGCGGGCGGGGACGGGAGGAGGCGATGACTCCCCTAGACTGTCCCCCTCTACCACCCGGGACCGCAGTGCGCTGGCATCCGCCCCCACCCACCCTGGGACAGTCCACATCTGGAGCTAGAGAGGCTGTGACTTGAGAGTGGTGCACAGAGAGAAGCCCTAAGGGGCAGGGGCCACAGAGCAGGACCTATAATGTTATTAACGACAGCCATCTAGAACATTGTCCTGAGATCACAATGAACTCCTCTAATTTCCCCAGCCATCCTTAGATCCTGCTCCTCTCACCCCCTCATGAAACTTTCCTGGACGTCCCCCATTCTATCCTCTCGCAGGCTAGCTGTTGTACCCAGGGTGTGGCAGTTTGATGACTGCCTTTCTCCAGACAAGACCAAGCCTCGTGAGGGTGGGAATCTCACTGCTTTAGCCCCGGTGCTTGGTGCACTCTTAGGAGCTCACGTTATTATCTGCACTCAGCAAGTACCAGACACTATCCTAAGCATTTCAATTTTCTTTACTTTTCAAATCCTAACACCATTTCTTCAGGGTTACTCATAGCTATTTCATTGATGAAGAAACTGAGGCACAGAGAGAGGTGAAAGAACCCAGGATCCTACAGCTAATAAGTGGCTGGAGCCTGGATTTGAACCCAGTCGAGCTCCGGAGCCCTTAAACCACCACAGTCTCAACACAATAATTTGTGGAGTTAGGTCCTGTGTTAGGATCCTGGGCTTAGAGATGAAATGACTTGCGGAAGGGCACCCTGCTAGTATTTTAGGGTAGGGAACCTGAGGACTGAGGTCAGTGGCAGAGAACAGGGGCTGGAGACCCAGCTGTCCCCAGCCAGCCTCTGTTATGTGACTTAGGGACGGGAAAGGGCTCAATAAAAGAAACTCTGTATATTATACAAGGACAGGTAACAGGGGCTGGGGGAAGGATAATTTCTTCACCTCTTCTTCTCCCATCCCTGGCCCTCAGTTTCCTCATCTATAAAATGGGGGTAATCGGGCAGCACCTGTGGCTCAAGGAGTAAGGCGTTGGCCCCATATACCAGGGGTGGCAGGTTCAAACCTGGCCCCGGCCAAAAACTGTAAAATGGGGGTAATCATTTTATAGATGCCAGGCCATTCACAGTGCTGACGCTCAAATCCCTTGAGGGGGCAAGGGCATTCTAAATCATAGGGAGGTGGGCAGATGTCAGTATTATACTGTCTCCTGGATCCCAGCCAGCTTCAGCTGGGCCACTGGAGCCTTGAGTAAGCAGATATTGAGTGCTCTGTGTCTCTGGCGGAGGGAGAGCCTATGAGGAGGGGACAAGGCCAGTCTAGGTGATGGAGGAGGCCACTGCTCTCAAACTAGGATGAAGAGTTCCTGAGGGCTGGGCCCTGGAAAGCTAAGGTGGTGGTGGGAACAGGCTGGACACTGGGGAAGGAGACCGGTGGCAGGGCCCAGGCCTGCCAACTCTGAACCTCTGAACCTCCTCACATGCAGCAGCCCACCTTACACACACACACACACACACACACAAAGTCAGAGTCAGGCCCTTAAGCACTGATCAGGGTTTACCTCTTTCTTGGACCCAGAGCACACAGCGAGGCCTCAATCTTATGGAGTGAGTCTTAGAGAATACAGCACTTTCCTTTCATTACTAGCACTTTTTTTTCTGGTCACATATTTATGATATAGAGAGTTATGCCCTTCCTTTTAGCAAAGAGGAACCTGAGGCCCAAATCACACAGTAGAACAGTAGAAAGGCAGAGAGGAAAATACAGGGCCCTGAAGCCATATCACCTGTCCACCCTCATGCCCACAGCTCTCTGGGGAGCTGGGCCCAGTGTCCTCACCTCTCCATCCCTCCCCCTGCCCTGCCCTGGCCCCAGTGGACACCTGATGCTCCCCCGAAAGGTCCACCTCACCCAGTCTGCTATTCTGGCCCCCAGGCCTGGCACGGGAGGCCCCAGATCCAATTACAGCCCCCCCATCCTCTCTTGCACACACAACTCCCCACATTGTTGCTGTCGGAAAGTTATCTGGCTCCTGGAAGCTGACTCTGAGGCTGATTCACTCACCCGGATTGGGCCCCAGAGTCCAGGGAATAGCTGGGCCCTGGGAAAAAGCAGGAGCCCATTCTGGGGCTCTGTAGAGGGTGTGGCAGGGGGGCTGCAGGAGCTGGGGAGAGGGGCCTTGGGTACCTGACATGCATGGGCTGAACTCCCCCAAGCAATACCCACCCTCAGCTGGGCCTGGAGAGGAAGGGGTGAGACAATCTGCAGGCAGGTCTTGTTCCTACCCTGACTCAGCAGGCAACCCCGACAGGCCCAGGAGGGAGTTGGAGGCATGGGGGGTGGGGGGTCTTGGTGCCAGAGAAGATGACTGGGCAGTCTCAGAGGACCAGCCAATAGCTGCCCCCAACTGTCCCTCGCTGCTGGCCTGGTCCCACTGGGCATCCTACCACTCAGGTGAAGGGCAGCCCCTCCAGACTAGGGAGCCCAGGAGGAAGGTTGGGATGGGTGGGGAGAGACCAGTAACCCCAAGAAACCCACCAAGATTTCCTGAAAGGCCAGAGCTGGCAAATGGAAGAAGTTGATGGAAGAAAAAGCTTGCAGCCTCCCCTCCAGGCAGTCCAAGACCCCCCTCTCCCCGCCACAGACCCTCAGGAGGTGGGAACGTGGGTGTCCTCTGAGGCTACTTCCTGGGACCCAGGAGTCCTCCTCCCTCCCTGCCTGTCGCCTCTCAAGGCCTCCCGCCACACCAAGATACCAGGGAGAAGACTGTTCTCTCTTGAGATCGTCTCAAGGACTTTGCTTTCGTGAAAGTTGCTACGCTGAGTCTCTGGGCCCCTCACTCTCTGGTGACCCTCTTTGTGGCATTTGCCCTGGTCTCCCCCACCCGCTTCCGGCTGGAGCGAGTGGGGCCAGGCGGCGGCAGCTACCTGGGTCCCCGTCTCCGTCCATCGCTGCGAAGGGCGGTCGCGAGAGGAGGAGTCGGAGCGCTGCGGGCTGCGCGAGTCCGGCGGTGGCGGTGGTGGTGGCGAGTCCCAGCTCTGCCGGCGTCTGGGTCGGTCCGGGCGGCCGCGCCTCTTAAAGGCCCCCGCCCCTGCCCCCGCCCCGCCTTTGGCCCCGCGCCCGGCCGCCCCGCAGTCCCAACAGTCCGCCGAGGCCTGAGGCTCCCGCTTCCTCAGCTGACCCAAGAGGCCGGGAAGGTCAGGAATTGGGGGGTTTTAAGTGGGAGGGTCCGATGTATGGGGTCTCTCAGGTCGACACTGGGGGCTGCTAGTGGAAGGAGGCGAGCGTGCAGCGAGTGTGGGTCAGGCAGAGGGTGCGGGACGCGCGGCCCGCGGGGAGTTGGGTGGTAGAAGGCACCTTCCGCCCCCCCACCCCAGGTAATTTTCCTACGACGCGGTCTGGGGCGCGTCCTAGACCTAGAGCGGGGCCGGGGCGGGGCCTGCCGGGGCGGGGAGGAGCCGCTTCCACCCGCGACCGGCCCAGGCTCACAGCCGGGGAGACCCGACCGGATTGCGCGGCGGCGGCGGCCCAGTGTAGGTGACCAGCGGAAGGGCGCGCGCGGAGCTCCGGGGAGGAGCGCACAGCGGGGCCGGGGCCTGGCGGGAGGGCTCGGCGCCTCCTAGCCGCGCCGCAGTGCGTGGAGCGAGGCCCGACGCTGCAGAGGCCCAGGCCGCGGAGCTTGTGGCGGAGGCGCTGCGCGGCAGCGAGCGGCGGCGGGGGCGGGAATCCGGGCTGGAGTCGCCATCTATGCGCAGGGGTCGGAGCCCTGACTTTGGGGGCCATGGGAGACACCGCAGGCGCGCCGGCGGACCTGCAGCTGAGGGTGGGGAGAGGGGAAGGGCGGGTCTCCATCGCCAGTCCCCAGCCAGGCAGATCATTTCCGCTGTGATCTTGAGCCCTTTAGACCTCCGTGGGAGGCAGTGAAAATCATTCCCCAGCCCCTAACATCACGAAGACACAGAGCAGCCGGGAGTCTCTGCGGGGCTGTGCGTTATTTCCTCTCTAAAGACCGCGTGACCTGTTTAAACAGCATTGCTCTCGAGTCGGTGAAAGACTTAAGCCTCTCGCCCTCACCCCTCGCTGCTCCGGTCTAACCTTGGACAGTTCCTTCTATCATTCTGGGCTTCCTTAACCTCCTTAGAGGGCGTTGTGAGATACCATTAAAAAATCAGAGCTCAACTTGCATTGAGCAAATGCTGTATTGGAAGCTCCTTGGACAGTCCCAGTGACCTGGAGGTAAGGGGCCCCATTTACAGAGGAGAAAGGAGGCTTGGAGAGGCACGGGGACTCTCCCAAACTAGTAATGGCAGAGCTGGGATGGGACGTCCACCACCACCAAGGCCACATCTGTAAGCATAGGTTTTCCATAACCACAGGACTGTCCAGAGGCCAGAAGCCATGGCTGTGGGGAACATCAACGAGCTGCCCGAGAGCATTCTGCTGGAGCTGTTCACGCACGTGCCGGCCCGCCAGCTGCTGCTGCGCTGCCGCCTGGTCTGCAGCCTCTGGCGGGACCTCATTGACCTGGTGTCCCTCTGGAAGCGCAAGTGCCTGCGCGAGGGCTTCATCACGGAGGACTGGGACCAGCCGGTGGCCGACTGGAAGATCTTTTACTTCCTTCGGAGCCTCCATAGGAACCTCCTGCACAATCCGTGTGCTGAAGGTGGGGCACAGGGGCGTCTGGCGTGCCTTCAACACACACCCACTGTCATGAGACTAGCCGCCACTTACTCCTTTAATCCTCTCACAATAACCCGGAGAGGGAGATGCTGATAAGGCACACGTTTTTCAGATGGGCAAGCTGAAGCTACGACTAGTGTTTCTTGGCCAGGTGTGTTGGCTCACACCTGTAATCCTAGCACTCTGTGAGGCTGAGGCTGGAGGATCCCTTGAGGTCAGGAATTGGAGACCAGGCTGAGCAAGAGCAAGACCCTGTCTCTATTAAAAATAGAAAAACTAGAGTGGCATGGTGGCAGGCACCTGTAGTCCCAGCTACTCCAGAGGCTGAGACAGGAAGATCTTAATCTTGAGCCCAGGAGTTTGAAGTTGCTGTGAGCTAGGCTGACACCAGGGCACACTCAAGCCTGGGCATTAGAGTGAGACTGTGTCTCAAAAACCAAAAAATAAGTAATGTTTCTCATTCCTCCCTTAAGATTATTTGTTTGATGAACTGTCCTAGGAAGAGGAATGTTGGGCAGTTGGGACTAATTGTGCTCAGGCCCCAAGACTAGGAAGTCAGAGCCAAATTTTGTTGGCCTAGTTCCCGGACTCCAGGACTGGGCCTACTAAGACTATCAGAAACAAGATGGGGTTTGCTTCTAGAAGAAGGGGAGATCCAGTCTTCTTTCCTGCATGGTATAAAAACTGGTAAAACAAGACATCCGCTGTCATCCAGAGTTCCCTTCCTCCCTTGCCAGCTTATCACTTGTCCAGTGGACAATAAGATGGGATGAGAAGTTCATTCTCTCATGTTCCAATTCTGGAACAGAATGATGATAAACAACTCCTCCAAGCTGTCCTGAGCTTTCAGATGCCTGTTGCACCTGATTCCCCCAGTAGCCATGTTTTGGCCAGCATTTGGCGAATAGGATCCTTCCACGTACCAAATGTGGCTGAGGAGTTAGGAGTAGCATTTACCTTTTTAAAAAGTTACAAAAACAAAGAAAAAAAACAACAAAAAGTATTCAAAAGAAACAATATGTGGCCCACAAAACCTAAAATATTTTGGCACTTTTCAGAAGACGTTTCCCAGCCCCTATTTATACTCCAGTTTACAGAGGAGAAAACCAAGCAAGGCTCAGAGAGGGAAAGCAACTTGCTTAAGGTCATACGGGCCAGTTTGGTAGAGCTGGGACTAGACCTAGGTCTATAAGGCCCCATGTCAGAACATTCTCCGTCACTGAAGCAGTCCGCTCATTCACATCACTTGTCTCAGGAGTCCCTGGGACACAGGAAGCACCTAATATGAGGTGGGCACTGTTGATCTGCAGTGTTGACAGAGTAGCCTCCAAGATCCAGGCAGAGGAGTAGAGAAGAAGGGACACTTGGGAGGAGGTGCCCACTGAGGGGCTTCCCTCCAGCGTGAACTCTGCTTTTCCACCAGAGGGGTTTGAGTTCTGGAGCCTGGATGTGAACGGAGGTGATGAGTGGAAGGTGGAAGATCTCTCTAGAGACCAGAGGAAGGAATTCCCTAGTGAGAAGGTCAAGAAATACTTCGTGACTTCTTATTAGTAAGAGCTGGGTCTCAGGGTGGAGGGAAGTGCCAAGTCACTTTACCCTGGGGTCTCTCCACTTTGGTAGTGGCAGTCCTGGACCCCCCCCCACAGTGCCCTAGCGGTGAGCCCCAGCCCCTCCCACCCCTCCGCCTGTCCCCAGCACCTGCCTCAAGTCCCAGGTGGTGGACCTCAAGGCTGAAGGGTATTGGGAGGAGCTAATGGACACCACACGGCCGGACATCGAGGTCAAGGACTGGTGAGTGCCTGGGGCGAGGGTCTGGGTGTGGGGCCTGCCACTTAGGCGCCCCACCCCCACCCTGCCCCCCTTCTACCAGGCCCTAATGGGCCCTCCCTCTTCCTGTAGGTTTGCAGCCAGGCGAGACTGCGGGTCCAAGTACCAGCTGTGCGTTCAGCTTCTGTCATCCGCACACGCACCTCTGGGGACCTTCCAGCCAGACCCAGTGACAATTCAGCAGAAGAGCGATGCCAAGTGGAGGGAGGTGTGTGGGCCCCAGGAGGGGGGGAGGGGGCAGAGGCAGAGTGCTCAGAGCTGAGATTGCAGTCACACAGGCCTTGATGCAGATCCAAGCCCTGCTCCTTCTCACCTTGGCTTCCACTGCTCTGAGCTTCACTTACTTCTTCTATAAAATGGGTATACTAGCTCTTCCCTCATAGAGCTCTCAAAGAAGTCAGTGACATGATTCTGGTGAAGCCACGTCCAAAAAAATGTTCAAAAATGTTGATTGAGTCAGCAAATATTTTTTTTAAATGATAGCTACAAATATTTTAGGCCACACTATGTCTGTCACAGCTACTCAACTCTGTTATTGTTGTGTGAGAGCAGCTCCAGACAATATATAAACAAATGGACACGAGCATATTCCAATAAAACTTTATTTACATAAATAGGCAGTGGGCCTGCAGGCTATATAGTTTGCCAACCCTTGCTGTCCAGTATACTTTCTGCAACAATAGAAGTAGGCTGTGTCTGCACTGTCTAAGGTAGCCAAGAGCCACTCATGACTATTAAACACTTAGTAAGAGCCAGTTCTTAATACAACTGAGAAGCTGAATTTTTTATTTTACCTAATTTTAATTAATTTTAACTTAAAACGTCCCACCTGCCCAGAGAGAACCATACTGGACATCCTTTGACAGTTTACAGTGTCTTTGGTTCCTGTGAGCCACGTGGGAATCCTGTGGAGTCGACCCAGCATGATTTTGCTGATTTTACAGATGAGGAAACTGAGGCACAGAGAGGGGAGGTGGTCTTCTCAAAATTGCAGAGGGAGGACTAGAACAATATTCCACTGATTCCTAGTCCAGCACTAAAAACTCCATCCAGCCTCACTCCCCTGGACTCTAAGGCCACATTTAGATCACAGCCCTTGACCTCTCTTCCCTCACCTGCTCTCCGCTACCCAGGTCTCCCACACATTCTCCAACTACCCACCCGGCGTCCGCTACATCTGGTTTCAGCACGGCGGCGTGGACACTCACTACTGGGCCGGCTGGTACGGCCCGAAGGTCACCAACAGCAGCATCACCATTGGTCCCCCACTACGCTGACATCCCCTGATGCCCCATCCACCGAACCTTGACTGGTAAATTACTCTCAGAGAAGGGCCAGGCTTGGGAAGGGGAGGTGGAGACCAGGTGTCCCCAGCTCTTGGGCTCATTCTTGCCCCCCATTGCTTCTTCTCTGTGGAGCCTCTTAGTTTGGGCAGCCCTTACATGCTGGGGAGGGGGGGTGCAGCTCTCCAAGGTCTTGACCTAAATGATGACAGGGGAGGCCTGCATGGGCCCCTTTAAGAGATGAACCACGTGAGGTTAGGGAGCATGTTCCCCTGGGCTCCTCTGAGATAGGTCTCTAAGCTTGGATGACACCTAGATCTGGGACTTTACCTTCCCCCTCTGGGAGCTTTCTCCCTGTGTTGTTTGGGGCCCCTCAGAGCAGGAACATGCAGGACATCTGACAAGTTAGCAGCTGCCCTGGATAGTGCAGATGTGGAAAGTGCCCGTATGACTCAGGCAGATCTGGAAAGTAGGAGGTAGGCTCTGCTGGTCCACACTCTGCCCCATCCTGCTGTTCACAGTCTTGCTTGCTCTGCCTGCCTACTCAGAAGAGGTGGCTTTGGTCCAGAGGCTCAGGCCCAGTTTGAGATGGACAGACCCAGGGTGAGGTGGGATCCAGGACAGGTATGAACTGTCCTCACTATCAGTGAAGCCTCAGAACCCAGATGGATAGCAGGCAGGAACAGGGCTCCTAGAGGACCTAAGGAATCCTGCCCAGGGTGTCCCAGGGTAGGTAGGGGGCAGAATTAGGCTCTGATTTCTGAGAGCTGAACTTATAAACAAGTGAGGTAGGGGGTTTTCAAGGACCACCTGTCTACCTTTAAGCTCAGGCCAGGCTCCCTGAGGCTTAGAGGGCATTCTAAGCCTCCTCACCCCACCCCGATTCTGCCTCTTTCTTCTGCTGGAAGAACAGTAGTGTTTCCTGACCTTGTCCTGTTGCATGTGGCCAAATAAAATATGTTCCCAGACCAACCTGTGCCCTGTGGTTTCTGGAGGAAAAGGCAACCTTCATGGGCAGCCCTGCCCAGACCTGCAGGAGGTGCAATGGTGTGGCTTCTGTAGAAGGTACAGGGAGGAGTTGACGATTCAGGAGCCAGGCATCACAGAACCAGGGTCATGGAACCCCTCAACAAGCTGCAGACATCTCATTTACAGGCCAGCTTGCTCTGGAGGGCGAGCAACAAGACTAAGGGCAGGGTATGTGGATATCTCTGGGCAGACCTTGCATCCACGTCAGACTGGGTCCCCAGGACCACTCAGACACTGCTTCCTGGTGTTCCTCTTCACCCAGAGTTTTACTGACATGAGATGAAGCCTGGCACACAGTAGATGCACAATAAGGACATTTAATTACCTTACTCAATAGTGCGCTAGTTTAGGGCCTCTGCCAGGCCAGGACCACCACCCACCTGCTGTATGACTAACTGGAAAAAGATGCTCTTCTACGAAGATGCAACCCTGACTGCAATTAACAGCGTGGCCTGACCCAGCCCCCTTACACAGTGTACAACCTGCACAGCCCTTGGTGATCGCCTGAACGAGGTGCTTGATGAGTATTTGAAAGAAGGAAGGAATTATGAATTTAACATGTACTTAATCCTGACAAAAACCCTAAGAAGTTTCTACCTTTGAATCAAGTGAGGCCTGCGGATGTCATGCCCTAGTGAAGGAAAGAGCAGAACAAGCCCAGTGTCTCCTCCCCTACCAGTGGGTCCAGCAGGAAGGAACAGGTAGGAGCAGGAGGGAGGAGGGAAGAGGTGGGGCGACCGAGTGGGAGGGGCGAGTGGCGCGGGGCGGGGCCAGAGCGGAAGTTGCCGAAGAGGCTTCCGTGAGGCCCAGGACTTCCGGATCTATGCCGGGCAGAAGACCTAGGCTCGTCTTCCCGCGCTGGCACCGGGGCCACTGTGGCCCCGAAGTGGTGGTGGCCCCGGAGTGGCAGTGAGGGCGGGGCGACAGCCGACGTCGCTGAGGCCGCAGACTCCAGGCCAACCCTGAACTCCAATCCGGCGCCCAGGTCGCGGCCCACCCTGCCAAAGGCAGAGGGCGGCGGGCGGGGAACCCGGGTCTCCCGCGCGGGGCCGTGGGGGCTGAGCCGAGCCCGCGGACACTGTGCCTGTGGGTCCGGGCGGGGGACAGTCTCCTGGCGGGGACGGCGCTGCGCCTGGTCGGAAACGCCGGGCCCTGTTCCCGACTTGTGGCCTGGCCGCAGGGCTGCCCAGGCGTGGGCTCGGCCTCTGTGGCCAATGAGGCCACATCCCGCGGGCGGCGCCGGGCTTGAGGGCGGAGATGGGACTTCCAGGCACCCGGTCACCAGCGAGATAGGGGACGGGCCCCAGACTTCCCTCAGCGTCAGCTGCTGCTTCCCAAAGGTGACTTAGTAAAAGCCCCTCTGGAGGCTCCATATAGAAAACAAGAGCTTCTGCTTGTGACACTGCTGTGAAGTGTGAACGAGGTGGCTTCTTAGGGTTGTCCTGGGCTTTTCCACCACAAAATGCCCTAGGGTGGCCATCACCCACCTGCCCCACCCCTAGGAGGGTTCTGCCTAGGCAAGCTACAGAAACTGTGATGGCTGGGGGTGATAAAATTCCACCAGAACCAAACTCCAGACTGGGTGCCACGTGGGAGGCTGTACCCAAGATGCCTCTAATTTGCAGCCCAGAGACTTTTATTTGGTGTAGACAGTGTTTTTAGAAATTGTCAACGTTTTATAATTGATAGATTTCCTGCATTTTTTTTAAGTATTTACAATTGCTCCTGAAAAGTTAGAAGCACATGGGTTTGACGGGTTTTCCATCAAAGCATTTTTCACAAGGCATAAGCACTTTTCTGACCTGTGGTTTCTTCTCTGTCATGTTAAAGTACCTTTCCCCTGGCAGGAGCCAGCCTGTATTCCACCACGTTTTCTGGGATGGATGGGCACTTGCAGAAGACTGAACCGTTGCTTTTCCAAGTCTCTGTGAAAGTTAGAAGAAGCCAGCAAGTTTCTGTTTCCTGCATATAGGTGGAGAACATTCTCTACCCTCCATTTGAGCAGAGACCACCCATCTGAGTGACAGCACAGAGCCCTAGCTGCCAGCCCACCCTACCCACCTGAGGCAAGTACCTGGGATCCCCTTAAGGAGCTGACCAGGCAACAGATTCAGGTGAGGGTAGTGGCACTGTTGGGACATTTTCCAGAACCTGTGTGCAGTACAGAGGTAGAGAGAGGAAGGTGTTCTTGGGGGCAGGTTCACTGACCTGTTGGCAGCGAAGTTAACAGTAGCTGTCTGTGCCAGCCCGTGCCAAGTGCATCACTATCCTCAGTCCTCCCAGGGCTTCTGGGTCAGGACAGTTCCTGTAGTCCCTTCCCAGCTCCCCAGCTAGACACTGCAGGCCAGGATTTGAACTCAGGCAGTCTGCTCAGGCATCCTCTGTCTGCCTTGTTTTCCGGCCATTTCCAAATGGACTCGCCCTGACACCCACGGCAGCCCAGCCCAGAGCTATGTGGCCTTTTCACTGGGGTGTTTTATCCCATCACATCTGGCTGCCCAGGCCAAAGTGAGCATTTGAGGAGAAGGAAGTTACTTCTCAGCACTACCCCCACCACTGAATGCCTATTACTGGTCTGGGGATGTTAAAAAAGATGTCATGTTCTAACAGCAAATTCACAGCATTAAAATAACAGAACAATCACCAAAACCCTTGGACAGCTTGCAGACAACTGTGAGGCCTCCACAGAATCTTAACAGTTCTCCCAGCCCACCAGGTCCAAAATTAAACAGTGTTTTTGGAAATGGGAGAGACCTTCACCAGAATTGTCCATAAACACTAACGTTTTTATTGTATTCTTCCAAGTGTGTGTGACATGTGACCGCTCTGAGGGCCTCCTGTGTAATGGAAGGACCCTCATGAATGCTGCTTTGTCTCTTCCCTCTGGTTTTCACAAAAGAGGAGAAGGTTGGAGAGAAGCCCCAGCCTGGGTCCCCAGGGCTCTGAGGGTCCAACCATCTCCCTGGTGAGGGCTCATAACCACTGTCGCCCCCTACAGGCCTGTGGGCGCACCCTGCTGCAGCCATGGCGCTGGTCAGCATCAACGAGCTGCCCGAGAGCATCCTGCTGGAGCTGTTCACGCACGTGCCGGCTCGCCAGCTGCTGCTGCGCTGCCGCCTGGTCTGCAGCCTCTGGCGGGACCTCATTGACCTGGTGTCGCTCTGGAAGCGCAAGTGCCTGCGCGAGGGCTTCATCACGGAGGACTGGGACCAGCCGGTAGCTGACTGGAAGATGTTCTATTTCCTGTGCAGCCTGCGCCGGAACCTTCTGCTCAACCCGTGTGCGGAAGGTTTGCCTGGGGGCTGCCACTGGGCTGGTTCCTAAACTCCGGGGCCTCGGGGGCTGTACACTACCCAGAATGTTCCCTCACAACCCTAAGACTGACCTCACTGCCTTGCTTCTTCTTCGGCCTTGAGGTTTCAGCACCCCGCCCTGACCCCACATCCCCAAACAGCCCACCTCACCCCTATCTTGTCACCCCCATCTAGTACCCTGTTGTATCTTTCATAATTTTTTTTTTTCCTCTGCCACAACCTTTTAAGTTCCAGAGGCCTGATGGACCTTGTCTGCCACTCTATACAGTGTCCACAGGGACACCTTCATATAGCAGGTGCTCAGGAAATGTTGAATGAATGAATACACTGCAGACCCAGCTGTCCCCATAGCTCAGTCCACACTGCCCAGTGTTTATCAAGGTCGTCTTTGTGTCACGTCTTTGTGAAGTCTACAAAGAAATTATCCATCCTCTCATTATCATCACTATACAGATGAAGAAAATGAGGATTTAGAGTGACTGTGACCACATAGTTTGAGGCCTGTTTAGCCTGTAATAGCTGATTATACTTGCCAGTATTCATTCAGTACCTAGTATGTACTAGGCACTGGGCTTCTTGTTGGAGTTAGAGCAGCAGCTGATTATGAATCATGGTTTGCTACTCACAGTCCCTTTCCTGTATATTTTCTCCCTTTATCCTCATGAGGATCCTGGGAATTGACCAGTTAAGGTCGGCTTCATTTTACAAAGGGAAAGCCCTAGGCTCCAAGATGAGTGATTCACCCGAAGGTGTAGAACTCTTAGCTTCTGGGATCTGGTTCTGGCCAATGAAGGCCTCAAGCTCCTCCCAGAGACCAATAGACAACATCCCACTCAGTCTGTCTGCCTGTCCCACATTCCACGTGGAGGCTGCCTGGCCACAGCACCTGCTTGGCCCACTGTTAATGCCACCTAATGGAGTTCCTTCCATGAATTCAGGGTTAGCTCAGCCACAGCCCAGAGAGTGTCTCGTGCTGGGTGGGGGCCATCTGAACCATATCAGAGTAGTAGGTCCCCACCACCCTCCAACAAACCCACAATTCAGTTCTCTCCACCTCTCCTCCCAACCCTGGTTATGTAGTTAATCTCTCCCTCCTGGACACTGGGAGATGACAGTGGTCAGGTAAGTGATGAGCCATTGAGGACAGTACTATCAGAGGCCCTCTGTAATTTTAATTTTTCAGTTTTGGCTGGGGTCAGGCTTGAACCCGCCACCCCTGGTATATGGGGCCAGCATCCTACTCCTTGAGCCACAGGTGCCGCCCTGTAATTTTAATTTTTTAAGAACTGATACTTGGGTATTTCCCAGAGCTCCCCAGCAATACAAAATTGAGGAAGGGTTTGGTTTAGAAAGTCTGGTTTACAATTTCCAGTGATACATATTTTCTCTAGCCTCATGCTAGGAGTCAGGCCAGTTTGGTACTGCATCAGAGGGAAGGGTCCAGTCAGAGATGTGGTGAGGACAGGGGAATATGATGGAGGGAGCTTTGTAAAGGGTGCTTCAAGGTGCAGTTTGGGTGCACTTGGGCTGATAAGAGGGCTGACTTTGGTTGGTTAGGCCCTTAGCATCCACAGTCCAGAGATCGGAATATGAACATCTCCTACCCTACCCTCCTTCCTGTTGTCTCAGGAGCCGGTGGGGAGGAGACCTAACCTCTGCTTCCTTTTCTTAGAGGATTTGAGATCTTGGCGAATCGACTCCAATGGGGGAAACCGATGGAAGGTGGAGAGCCTCCCTGGAGACAATGGGAAGGATTTTCCTGATCCCAAAGTCAAGAAGTACTTTGTCACATCCTATGAGTAAGGCAGACTGCACCAAGCAGCCTCATGTGGAGGGATTGAGGGTCAGGACACTTTTGCCTTAGTGAGGGTCCCTGCAACGCTCAGGGCAGCTGGCCCCCTAACCTGCTGAGAATCCTCTGCTTCTTGGAGCAAGTAACTCAGTGATTGGGTTAATGGCAGTGGAGGTCACCTGAAGGAGGCCAGGAGCCCTCTGGGTGGTTAAATCAGGGGTGTCTATAGGCAGCCCTGATCCAGGCACCTGAGTTCATAAAAGTTGCTCTCCTTAGTGTCCCAGGAGACTAGGCCTCTGGACTGGGATCAGATGCCATGCAGGCACAAGTGGGTCACTCCCTGCATGTGTTCCTTGTGGCAGCACCAACCAGTGCCTGTCCCATACCTCTCAAGGGATACCTGGGTCTCCTGAACCACACCCTAGGCTCAACGGGGCTTCTAAGGGTGAGGAAGGACCCTACAGAACATAGCAGGGAACTTGACCTATCTCTCTGCTCCCCAGCATGTGCCTCAAGTCCCAGCTGGTGGACCTCAAGGCTGAGGGCTACTGGGAGGAGCTAATGGACACACTTCGGCCTGACATCGTGGTCAAGGACTGGTGAGTGGGGCCTGTGGCCTGTATCATCACACTCTACATCCTTCCCTCTTCTCTTACTGCCATACCCACCAGGAGAGACAACTCACAAGTGCCCATTCTGTGCCTGGCAGTATCCGGGGGCATGGGCTGTCCCCAGAGCCAGGCAGACTTGGCATGACCTCCCTCTGCCACAGGACTCAGTGATTGCTCACCCAGCAGCACCTCTAGGCTCCCAAATACTCTGTTACCTCATCAGCAGGACACAGTAGCCCCAGTCTGTAATTGGGGAGACTGAGGCCCCCAGATGAGTTGTTCCTAATGGGCCCTAGAGTAGCAGAGGACCCAGCCCTCTCTTGACAGGCTTTCTTGCCTACCTGTCTGCCCTGCCCTGTCCCTGTTCACCCATGACTCTTTCTCAAGCTCTTGCTGGTGCACAGAACTGGCCAGCGGCCTGGCTGGGCCCATGGAAGAAGCTGGACTCCAGTGTTAGCCAGGCCCCAGGCCCACTACTCTGAGCAGGGAGGGGCAAGAGTGTAGGGGTATACAGAGATGTGGGGGGAGGGGCAGCTGGGCCTAGCAGAGAGTGACCCTGAGCCAGCCTCATCACACAGGTCACACCCCTGGAATCTCCCATGGAATGTATAGCTTAGTCCATTCCAAGTGCAGGTGATACAGCTTGGTCAGGGCTTCTGTCTTTGTAGGGACCTATTGCTTTTTGTGGTCACTTCTTTAGCTGAATGCCCAAAAGAGTTGCCCTTTCTCAGATAGGGTAACTGAGGGCCAGCATGGATAGATTGCTTACCCTAGGACCACAGTGAGGGGATGCTGACACCAGCTGGGCCTTGTGGACGGAGCAGTGCCAGATAACGGGAGCTCCAGCCAAGCTCAGGGAAAGAAAACTCCATGGTGTGGGCCCTAGAGCAGCTCTCCATCCCATCAGGTTCGCAGCCAGAAGAGACTGCGGCTGCACCTACCATATCCGGGTGCAGCTGACCTCAGCTGACTACATTGTCTTGGCCTCCTTTGAACCCCCACCTGTGACAATCCCACAGTGGAATGATGCCATGTGGACAGAGGTGAGCCTTCACCTACTTGCTCTGGCCTGTCTGCTTCTCCCAGGGCCTAGAATGCCCCTGGTCTCTGTCCTTGAGCCGTTGCCTTCCAGCCTGGGCAACTCTCTCCCAGAGGACAGTTCCTCCCTACCCCTCTGCAGTTGAGGGGTGCCTCCACCTCCTCCCCTTCCCCAATCTCCCTCCCGCTGGTCATTTTCTCTCCCCTCCGCCCCACAGGTCTCACACACTTTCTCAGACTACCCTCCAGGCGTCCGCCACATCCTCTTCCAGCACGGGGGCCAGGACACCCAGTACTGGGCAGGCTGGTATGGGCCCCGGGTCACCAACAGCAGCGTCATCATCAGTCATAAGATGACCAGAAACCCGGCCCCCCCTGCAGCTCAGCCAGAGGCAGGGCAAGGGCAGAAGGAAGCTGCCCATAAGCCCTCCCCGTTTCATGTCCACACTCCCTTCTGACTCCATCTTCTGACAGCCACTCATCCATCCTCTCCCTGGTCAGCTAAAGGTCCCTCCAGGCAAGAGCTGAGCCTGGAGTGGGCAGTAAAGCACCTTGTCTCAGGAGTTCCTGCCCTAGTTTCAACCTTGGGCAAACCCACCAGCTCCTGGTCTCTTAACTGCTACATAGCCCCCTTTTGTCACAATAAATGTTTTCAGTAAAACCAGCCTGGGGTTAGGTTTATAGGTGGGGGAGGGGTTCTGTGGCACTTTAGTAGAGAAGCAGTTCTTCCTCAGCTTAATGAGGCCACACCTCTCCCTCCCACTCCAGTTAGTGACAGCCCAACTCAACCTAGCCCTTGGGGCCCCTTTATTGAAACAACTCACAGCACAGTATTTGAGACAGACAGTGTTGGCCAGTTGAACCCCAGGGGCTGAGAAGTCAGGTCCCAGCATCCATCATGGCCCTGGGGAAGGCTTCCATGAATGCAACCAGACCTGAGCAGCCTGGGGCTGGAGGGTGGGTGGTCCATACATAAAAGCAATAAGAGCACTTGGAATAAGGGTGGCCCTGCAGCACTGCCTTAGGCTAGGGGCCCCCCCAGAGTCTGACAGTTCCAGCATCAGTAGGATAGCAGGTGCACCCTCAGCTGCTTTTATGAGCTCGCTCTTCCACATAGAGTTGCATCTAAGGGAGAAAGAGAAAACAACTATGAGTCAGCCGGGGCACCTACACTCACTGGGCCCACCAAGGTTAAGGGAAAGGAGAGAGAAGAAAAACCTTACACTGGGTATTCCCTAGTCCTCTTCCCTGAGCCTTGATCTGTAAGTCCCCTGGCAAGACCTCCTTAAAAATCCCCTAAATAAAGTTTCTGTGGTCCCCATGAAGCTCACCTTTAAAATGTCTGATGTCATGGTTTTTAGGGGTATCAGCCGGGGGTCATGCATGTGGACATCCTGCTCATCTGCCAGGATCCAGGGGAAGTCCTGAGGAGGGGACCAATGTGAAGGATAGAAGGGGCTGGACCCTGGCCTGACCTCACCTTGCTGCCCCTCCCCTTCCAGATTGGGGTGGGAGGACATCCCTCTGACTTGAGGGAGCATCAGAATCACTAGGGAGGTGCTGGTGGGACAGGTCAAGTCTACCAAACCCAAGTGATTTAACAAATCCAAAACACCAATTCTGAAACTGGTGGGCCAGCACCCACTCCCTAGAGAAACTTCAGAAGAGCCAGGATGAGCTGGTATCCCCAGCAAGTGGCTCTATCTGTGCTGGTCTTAGCTGAGGGCCCAGATGGAAGAGTGGCCCAGGGTGTAGCCACATCGTTAACACACATGGGAACCTGCTGGGTGCCAGGCACTGGCCTCAGCAACACCCCTGCCCTCCCAGAACTGTGGCATCATGTTTTCAGAGCCTCCCAGAGGCCTCCCTGCCCACCTCCCCACGCCCAGTCTCATCACACCTTGATGACCTGGATCTTCTCCATGTTGCGAGTGGCAGCTTCTCTTGTGTGCACCAGGACTGTGAAAGTACAGCCTGTGGAGGCAGGACGTGGGTGGAGGCTGGGCCCCTGTTGTCTGCCACTGGGCCCAGCCTCTTCCCACCTGCCTCACTGGCTCCACAGCCCCCCCAGTGCAGAGTGTAAAGCAAATACTAAGACAAGACCCCGTCATCTGGGAGAGTGAGGCCAGGCAGAGTTGATCAGGGAACCTTCCTGGAAGAACCAGACCTCAAAAGGGTTCTGAAGGGCAGGAAGGAAGAGATGAGGCTCAACCAGCCAAACAGGGACCTAGAAACAGACCAACCTAGTAACCACAGAAATGGCAAGGGAGGAGGAGCTGGGGAGTGGGCACACCTGGGGGGTTGTGGTCCAGGACGGCATCACACACGCTGATCTTCAGGATGAAGGCTCGGAGCAGCTGCTCCACGTGAGACAGCAGGGAGTCTGAGCTGGGAGTGAGAGGCTCCCATCACATGGTGCCCTCACTCCCACAACCAGCAAACAACCCTGGATACAGACCTAGGCTCCAGAGCCTTTCCAGTGCCTCTGAGAGTGTCAGCCTCTAGGGCTTGGCGCCCTATCTACTCTACAGAGTTAAAATCACCAGAGGACTTTAAAGCCCATGCCTAGCCTCACTCCAGATGAAGGCAGAATGTGCAGCCAGGCTGAAGATAACCCAGAGAGGAGAGGGCTTGCCTGAGGCCACATAGCCAGTGGGGACAGGTTGACACCAGATTCTAGTGTCCTGATCTCACTGGAGAAAGCATGCAGTTGACCAACTAACACTTGTGCCCAAGGTCAACGTCTAGTTAACGATGGACTGGACATTTGACTGAGACATCAGGAAACTGGGTCTGAGTCCCGGGCTCTGCTACCATCCAGGAGACCCTAGGTAGTTCACGTCACGTCTCTGAACCTTGTTTCTGCATCTATAAAATAACATGCCATTCGCCAATGCTACAATTTTCCAGGTGTGGCACATGGTAGTGTCTATGTAACCTGTGTACTGTCCACAGAGACCAGTGCCTGCCCAGCTTTGTCTCAGTCATTAATAGGGTAAACCCTTGGCAGATTGGCACATCTTGCCCTCTCTCCTTTCAGACGTTTGCCATGGTATTCAGGGGCTGCCTTAAAGAGGTGGGGATAAGGGTCATGTACTGCTAGAGACAGACCTCAATCAGCTAGCAGGCAGTGGGGGAGAGCAGCTCACCTGATAGACAGCAGTGGAGGCTGGGTGATCTCAAAGACGAATTTCTCCACTGGGCGGTGCTCTTTATCCAAAATTACCACCACCACTTTGTCCACATCATTCTGCATGGACAAGAATCCCCTACTGCAGAGCTGGACACTAGACCCCCCTCCACTTCTCCCTGCCCAGAGAGGGATGGGAAAGGGTACGCTCACAGCCCTACTCATCTGAGGGTCCCTGAGAGGCCAGGGAGTGGGTTTGAGAAGTTTAAGATGGCACCCTCAGACATAAGTGGTGCAGGTTAAAAGAGTACCTCGACCCCGTGGGAGTCCCAGGAATCTGTGACCAGGACAACATAGGAAGAAGCGGCCCAGACAGAACTTTCAGGGTGGAGGGTAAAACCCAGAACCCCCCCCCCCACAGGGCAGCCCCTACTCAAAGCCATCTCTACTAACCCAGGCTCTCAGGCACCCAAAACGTGACCCACATACATGCCTGTCCCTGGGTAGGGGTGGTCTACAGAGTACAGGGAACAGGCTTCTGCATGTTAGTGCCATGAGCACCCTGTATGAACTCCCCATCCAGGAGCTGGGCCTATGTGGATGGAGGGACAGATTGGAGGGGAGGTTGGAGGGACTTGGTGCCCCCTCACCTTCTCCAGGAGTGGCTTGACGCAGTGCAGTGTGTCCTGGATATACTGATTCAGTTCCGGATGGCAGGACATCTGCACACAACCCCACGTGTCTGGTGAGGCCCAAAGCACAGATGTGGAAACCACCCAACACCCTTCCAGGAGCTCAAGACCTCATTTGCCTTCAGAGGTCCAGCAGCTCCCTAAATCTCCCTACCCTAGAGACTTGACTTTCCCTCATGGGGCTAAGAACTGTGAATTTATCCATGAAGAAAAAGAAATTAGAGGACACAAATTCAAATTCAGCACTAGCATTTAATATAGCATTAGGGGCCAGGCATGGTGGCTCATGCCTGTAACTCTAGTACTCTGGAAGGCCAAGGTGGGTGGATTGCCTGAGCTCACGAATTCGAGACCAGCCTGAGCAAGAGTGAGACCCCATCTCTACCAAAAATAGAAAATCTAGTCAGATGTGGTGGCAGGTGCTTGATAGTCCCAGCTATCAAGAGGCTGAGGCTAAAGAATTGCTTGAGCCCAGGAGTTTGAGGTTGTTATGAGCTATGACACCAGGACACTCTACCAGTGCAACAAAGTGCGTCTCCGTCTCAAAAATAATAATAATAACAATAATAATAATAATACAACATTAGGAGTTCCTAATGTGAGTCCATGGACTCCTCCAGAGTATGGGGAGTCCCAACAATTTACACTCAAAGTTGTGTGACTTTGTGCATATGGACAGTTTTCCAGAGAAAGGATCCAGAAATTTAATCGGATTTCAAAAGTTAAGAACTGATCTTAGGCAAATTATTTAATTTCTCTGAGTTTCAATTATTTCATATGTGAAGATCTTATATAGTGAGGATTAAGTGAATTAAGTACTCAATACCAGCGGGTGCTCAGCAAGTGCTGATTCTTTTTTCTTTTTTCCTGTACAGATGCACCTTGACTTACTATGAGATTATGTCTTGATAAACCCATCAAATTACATAATACAAAAATGCATTTAATACACCTGGCCTACATCATAGCTCAGCTGAACCTACCTTAAATATGCTCAAAACATTTACATTACTGTTGGGCAACCTGATCTAACACAAAGCCTATTTTAAAACGAAATGTTGAGTATCTCGTGTAAATTAATTAAATACTATACTGAAAGTGGAAAACAAAATGGTACTATGAGTACACCAAGTACAGTTCCTGTTGAATGCACATCACTTTAGAATTATCCTAAGGTTGAAAAATCTAAGTTGAACCACTGTAAGCCGGAAGCCACATGCATGTCCTTTAAGCATCCACCATTTGCCAATATTCAGTCTTTTGTTCTTTTTTTTTTTTTTGAGACAGAGCCTCAAGCTGTCCCCCTGGGTAGAATGCAGTGGCATCA